GTTCTTCATTGCAGGGCCGATCGGCTGTGGATAAAAGGCGTTCGTCCCCGGCAGCGGCGAGGCCTCGCCCCCTGCCTGCATCGCGCAGTACAGCCTCCAGCTGGTCTCGTTAAAGCCGTAGTTGAAGTAATCCTTGAGGTTTGCCGCGGGTTCGTCCCACGGGCGCTTCTGCATCTGCGCAATGTCATACCCAAAGACGGCGCTGTTGATCTGCGGTCCACTAGCATGGCGCACGCAGAGCGGGACAAGTCCCGATACATCACCCTTTGGCTCCTCCAACGCCTGCTGCTGCTGCTGTTGCTGTTGCTGCTGCCCCTGTGCTTCTTCCGTTGCCGTCCCCCCGCCTCCTGCGGCTGGCGGTGGCGACGCTACGGCCGTCAGAAGGGGCCCCGCGGTCTCCTCCGTGTGTCCACCAACAAACGGGTTCTCTTCACTATCCGCCATCGCTTTCCCTCTCCCACGCTCGCTCCCTGCTTGGCTCCCTTCCACTAATTATACGCTTGGCGACAGGACAAAACGGTCCAGCGCAAACAGCAAAAAAGAAAAACAAAAAAGAAAGACGCACAGATCCGTTCATGCAGTTATATATATATATATAACTTGGCATGCATGCGACATAAATGGCCCACAATAAGCTTAAAGAATACGCATTGCATCCTCTCCCCTTTGCAACAAGCGCTAGATGCTTGTCTCTTCCTCCCCCTTCCCCCGCGCGCGCGTACGGGCGCGCACACACACACACACAAGAGATCACGCACTTCTACAGAATACCATATTACAGAAAATTAAAAAACTAACGGCGGCAGCAGCAGCAGAAATAACGGCTATAAAAGTACTAAAAGAAGAAACTACGAAGTTTTGTTGGCCGCCTCCGCAAACAGCTGCTCCGGGTTCTCAAGGAAGGCCTTCAATGAGTTGTTGAACCGTACAAGGGTTGCGCCGTCAATAACGCGGTGATCCGCCGTGCTTGACAGCTGAACAATCGTCGCCTTGACAATGTTGCCGTTGGCGTCAAAGCGAGGCAAGACCTGCAGTCGTCCGAATGCGGATATCGCCACCTGCGGGGGAAGAAGTATGGGGGTGGCGTACGTTGCCCCAAGCGGGCCAACATTGCTGATGGTGAACGTGCCACCACGCAAGCTGCTCGGTGGGACTTGGTTCTTGCGGGACAGCCGCACCAGCTCATTGACCTCCCGCACCACCTCCATGGTACTCTTCCCCTCGACGTTTCGAACCACCGGAACGATCAGGCCCTTTGGCGTGTCCACCGCAAAGCCAATGTTGTGTGCCTTCTTCACCACAAGCGTCTCACACTTGTGAGGGACGTATGCGTTGATGTAGTGATTCTGCAGCAACGCCAGCGAGGCCGCCTTGATAAAAAAAGACAGCAACGATACCTTTGGCGGGGCGCCGTCGGGAGAGGCTGCCGCCAGTTTTGCTTTCAGCTCTTCGCGAGCAGCCACGAGGGAGCTCAGGTTAATCTCCTCACACGCCGTGAAGCATGGAATCGTGCCCGCCTCCGTCATGGTGTTCACCATGACGTGGCGAATTCCAGTGAGCAGCGGCACCACCTCGTCGCCGGCGTCGTTGCAGTGGCCCCTCACGTAGGCCTCAACGTCCGACTTTAAGATGCTCCCGTTGTCGCCCGTTCCCACCACGTGTGCGAGGTCAACGCCGCACTCACGTGCAAACTCTCGCGTGGCGGGGGTGGCCAGCGGCCTTCCCCCGGCCTTGCGAGGCGGCGGCGAAGGCGGCGGCGACGGCTTCTTCTCCTCCTTCTGCTGCTTCTCGGGGGCGGCCCCGGTTCCGGTTTCCCCCGGCGCGGCCGCGTTGTCCCCCTCGCCGTCGTTGAGCTCGATGTCGACGATGGGGCGGCCAACCAGCGCGGTCTCGCCAGGCAGCACGTGGACGGCGGCGATGACCCCCGCGTAGCGGGAGGTGATGTCCACCATCGCCTTGTCGCTCTGCACCTCGCATATCTTCTCAAACTCCTCAATCCTGTCCCCCTTCTTCACACAGACCGAGACCACCTCCACCTGCTGAATACCCTCGCCAATGTCGGCCAGCCTGTACGGAATAATCGTCCCCCAGCGTGGAAGACTGGCGTGGATGAACCGTGCCGCAGAAGCCGAGTGCGGCCACAACAGCGCAAGCCGTCGCATAAGAAAAATAAAAAGGAACCAAAAATACTTATCTGCAACTTCCTTTTAAAATTCAGGACGTCATAGACGGAAGCAAAGAAGAAGAATAAGAAGAAGAATAGGGAAAGGGAGGCATCTGGGCATCCCCTCACCTCGCCCCCTTTCCTCCTCACACCCGCCGTTTCGTTCGCGTCATCCACAGTCACCGATGACGCCCAAGGAAGAAAAGAAAAACCTACACACGTCAAAAGTATATATTTATGTATGTATGCATAGTTATGTCTAGTTAGGTATATGCATATATGGCGTTATTGGGGGGCCAGAGGAGGGCGCTTGTCAAAGGACCTGCAGCCCTCCAGCAATAACTTCTAGGGAAGAAACTTGTATGATATGTGCATCTATGTGACTCAACCTGACCAACGCCGCACGAAGCCCGCCTCCGCCTCCGCCTCAGCCTTCCCCCACACCCGCCGGCAGCGCTTCTCCAGCGATCAAGCATGTTGGTAGTAATAGATTTAGTACATAATCGTGATCAATCTCTCTTCGTTCCTGACATCCATCCTACCGAACAGCTTCTTCCACTTCTTGTGTGCATGTATACGTGTATATATGTGTGCTTTTTTTACCGACTCGCTCTCCCTCCTTCGCTCTCGCGGCTCTTCCACGTGTTTTTTTTTCCTTTCTATAGATCTAGACCGAACGCATGCGCAACTTCAGTCGAAGCAAAGCGGCCTTTAGTTGTTCCGCCGTCATGGTGGGGTACGAGCGGGAATGCAAGGATGACAGGGACGAACCGCTGCTGATGCTGCTACTGTCATTGCCGCTGCCGCTGTTGGCGCTGGTGTCGGTGCTTGAGGTGCCGGTCTCTTCCTCCTCAGGTGCCGCCTTGCCAGGGCGCCGCGCCGGCGTGGCTGCAGAGCTCATTGAGCTAAGACTGACGTTCCCGTGCAAGGCGGAGGCGTCCTGCGTCTCGCTGCCGTCGGCGCCAGCGGCAGAGGCCCTCGTCAGCTTATCCTGCAGCGCCTTAAGGTTGCGAAGGAATTGCTCATGGTGCAGCGCCAGGCCCGGCGCCTCGTCAAGGGGAGACACGGGCGGTGCGGCGGCTGCCTTCGCTGCCGGGGGGGACAAAGAAATCGGCGTCGGCGAGTGCGGCGGCGTGCGGGTCGGCGATGGTGTGCGGGTCGGCGACGGCGTCCGCCCGGCGGACGTCGCCCGCGGGGACAACGGCGTCGGCCGCGGCGCCGCAGACTCCGCGCTTGGCGCGTCACTTCCCGCCTCCGACGCCGCTTCCGCGGGGACGGGGCGCACGCGAAAAGGCCTCGGGCGCAGCTGCACAACAACCTCCGCGTCGCCCGGCAAGAGGCACGCGGCACCGGCGAGAGGAAAGAGGCGCATCTCCGCGTCGCCGTCGTCCGCGTCGCCGGCGGCCGTCGAGGCATCGGTGGGGGGCAGCGGCCCACGGAGAAACATCTGCTCGAACTCCGCCTCCTCCTGCGCCCTGAGCGCCGCCGCCCGCCGCGCCTCCAGCTCCTTGCCGCTCCTCGACCTGTCCTCCTGCGGCTCAGTGGCAATGCGCTGCTCAAGCGCCGCCGCGTTCTCCGCCCTCCGCTGGGCCGCCTCGCGTGCCTCCCTTGCCGCCTCCTCGCGCTTCGCCAAGTGCGCCGCCGCCCGCGCCGCCGCCTCGCGTTGACCCTGCCGGAGCGCCCTCCTCTCACTCGCCCGCTCTCGCTGGCGCTCCTCGCCAAACTGCGCGGCAGCGGCCTCCCCGCGCGCCGCCGCCGCCGGACTCGCGTCTTCCCCTCCTCTGGCCGCCATCACCACAGTTGCAGCCGGTGCAGGCGGGGAGGTGCCCTCAATGGCCGTGTGCGAGAGGGCGCCGGTGAGCGGAGAGCTGTGCGAGGCAAAGGATGGCGGCCGCGGCAGCGGCCTCGCGATCCTCGCCTTGCTGCGTCTATCCTCCACCCCCCGCACCGCCTTCTTGCGCTCCACAATGCCACGATGGGGCTCCTCCTGCAGTGCCCGCGTGACGCGCTCTGTGGCCACGGCGATGCGGTGCCGCTCCCGCTCCAGTGCGTGCTCCGCCGCCCACGCGTCCAGCTCGTCGCTCGCGTGCTGCTGGTGCGCCGCGGCAAGTCCGGCCGCCCCCCGCATCCCCTCACCGAGCCTCGACTGTCCGTCGTACAGGATGCGGTCAATGAGGGCGGCCTGCTGCTGCACCTCGCACTCCCACTGCTTGCGCAGGTCGTTTCGCACCTTCACCGCCTGCGCAGTCTTCTGCGCCGCGTATGCGCGGGCCCGCTGCACCCCCATCGCACTCCCGGTACGTCTTGCCTCCTCGAACCGCGCGCGCCGCACCGCCGCCTCCTGCTGCTCCCGTACGTATCTCAGGGACACCATTCACCTTCTCTGTGCGTCAGCACGCGCGCGTGCGTGCGTGCGTATGTGTGGTCTATTTCTTTTTTGTTTCCCTCACGACGACAACGACGTTGCCGTTGCTGGCGTTGTTGCTGGTGAGAGCCAACCGTTAAAACTCGGGGACCTAGCAATCGTACACAGATGCAAAGAAAGAGAAAGCAAGAGGAGCACTAAGATGGAGATCATGGCCACTTCCATCCCAAGAGCGGTACGCGTCTCGGCAGACACGTGACGCATGGCCTCAATATAATGCGTGTATCCGCAATGTGCCCTTGGCACTTCACTCTCTATGCGTGACCCCGTGTGCGCCGGGGGAGGACTCCACACGCACCACCGACGGCGAGGACATGCTGCCGTCGGGGACATACTCCGTGGAGTGCGTGGACGGCACGGTTGACAGCGTCACACCTCCCGCAGAGGAGGAGGGGCGACGACGGTGGCGCGTCTTGGAGTCCAACTTGCGCAGCGCCTGCGATACCGTGGCTAAAAACTCCCGCAGCTGCTCATCCACATTGTCGGCCTCCTGCTTGTAGGAGCGACGCGTGGCCGCGCCGTGTTCCCGCTCGTCCGCCAACAGACGTCTGCACTCCGCCGCTCGGCTCTCACTACACTCCGCCTCACGTCGGCACCGCCCAACCTCGGCACGCAGCTCTTCTTCTATGCGACCATGTGCTTCTAGTTCAACCCTCATCGTCTGCGCCTCCTGCTGTACAGCCGCAAGCGACCTCAGCTCGGCTTCGCGACTCTGCTGCTCCGTGCTTGCTTTGCAAAGCTCCTTCTCCGTTTCCAGGAGACGGCAGTGGGCACTTGAAAGCTCCTCGCGCACCGTGTGCAGCTCCCCCTCTTGCTCCATGATGCGTTGACAGAGAAACGCAACAAGCGCCTCATCGGTGGCTATGAAATTCTCCATTTGCTCCCGCAGCTTTGCCTCCCCCTTCTGCACTGTTTGCGCCACCTGGTGGGCCGCATGCGTGGCGAGCTCCTCCACGGCCCGCATCTGCCGCTGCAGCTCCCGCAGCTGTTGGCACGACGAGCTACACGCCGTGAGAACCTGCTCGTGTGCGTAGAGGGCCTCGGATCGGGCCGAGAGGGTGCGTCGCTGCCCCTCGCTACTGCTGCTGTGACTCTGCCGCAGCACCTCTCTCGCGCGGCCAAGCTCATACCGCAGCTCCTCCACTACACGCTCGAGCCCGGCCTCGTTCGCCCGACTCAGCCGCAGCGCCTCCTCCACCTGCTTTAGCCGCTGTGCACCGTCGTGTTGGAGCCTCGCGGCCGCCTCCCGATGGCCCGAAATCGCGGCGTTGAGGTCATCGGCGTACTTGCCGGCCTCCGCCTCCGTGCGAAAGAGCCGCTCCGTCAGCTGCTGCAGCCTGTGCTCTAACACGGCAATCTGTTCACGCTGCATGTGGCTCTCCTTCGCCGCGGACTCCTGCGCCAGCCGTGACTCCTGCAGCTGCGCCTCTAACCCGGCCACCGTCGCCTGCAACTGCGCCACAAGCCGCTCGTGTTCCTTCGCGGCACTCACCTTCACCCGCAGCTGCTGCATGAGGTTGAAGTTTATGTGCTTCAGATCCTTCTCCAGCCCCTCCTTCTCCACGCTGATGGAGGTGAGCCGCTCCGCCGCCGCCTTGGCCTGCGTGAGCAGCCGTGTGTTTTCCGCCTTCAGTTCCCTGTTCTCGTCGTTGAGGGCCGCGAGCAGCCGCTTCGTCTCCGCGAGCAGCGCCTCCCTTGCCGACTCCATCGCACCGGCGCCGACCCCTTCTGCTGGGCGACGGTGGCGGCAAACAAAAGCAGACGAAAAAAAAGGAGTTTGTGTGTGCGTGTGTGGGGGAGGGGGGGGGGTTTCAAGGGCCGAGCTAAAAAAAAAAAACGAATGATCCCAACAACCAAAAAGGCACGTGCCAAGGACGACAACGCCGAAACGAAGCGGAGACAGATGACGCACGCGCGCGGCTGTAGGGGGGGGGGGGAAGTGGGAGGGAAACAGCAGTGATCCACGAAAGCTGCGCTACTGAGCGTGGGGGGGGGGGGCGGTGGAAGGGGTTTCCACGGCGTGACGCCACCCATAAAGCAACACGAGGCCAATAGCAAAGGAGGAAAGCCACGATGGGGATTGGCCACTGCATGCACCCCCTCCCCCCGCTCAAAGAGCCGGGCGAGAGCGCAAAAAGGCCTTTGCCATGGGAAGCCCCAGGTTCCTCACTGCAATGAAGATGTGCGCCTTTTCCTTGGGGCAGCGGGCAATGATGTCCTCAATTTTCATCCATTCAACGTGGGAGAACTCCTGCAGCGCGCCGCTTCCTTTGGGTGGAACGAGATTCACCTTTCCAATGTTGTCGGCTTGGGTAAAAAACAGCATGAGGCGCTGCTCTTGGCCCCGGAAGCCAAATCGCCGGAGATTGGCTGTGCTGCGAAGTTCATAGCGAAACTCCCGCGGATCACCGCTGGCTGGAAGAATCTCCCCCACGAATTGCAGGTCCTCCTGCAGCAGTCCAATCTCCTCCTGCAGCTCGCGGTATGCAGCTTGGAGGAGATCGGTGTCCCGCTTCTCTATTCCGCCCTGCACAAACTGATACAAATCCGAATTAATGCGTTTGCACCCAAGAAAAAAAAGGTCCTCATTAAAGATGATAGCACACACGTTCTTTCGGTACATGGATTATTGTGCGAATAGTGTGTGACTCTCTCTGTGATTCACCGCCCGTGTCTGTGCGTGCGTGCGTGCGTGGGAAAACACGTACGTGGTGTAATGTAATATATGTGGCTCCGCTTCCTGCCGCTGCTTTGCCTAAGGCCCCTTTCACCTCCCACCACCAAGGGCGTCAGTGAGAATGGTGAGAAAGAGATGCAACAACAGGGAGTCTAACGGGATGGGGGGGGGGGACGAGCGCAGGCGACACCTGAAAGGGAGGGCGTGCGTGTTTGCGTGTTTGCATGTGTGCAAAAGGGCGGCAAGGCGGTTGCGCACGACAGGCAGAGGCGCTTCTTCCCACTTGTTTTCCCTTTTTACTCCTTTTTTTTTTAGAGCCCCACAACACCATCGTCCCTAATGTTGTCGCGGGGCAAGAGCGCTCCCACTGTGGTGCGTCACTCCTCCTCCCGAGCGAGCGCACGGTAGTAGCGCCGCTTGTAGTCGAGCGACTGCACGACATCCTCGGCCTGCGGTGACGTCGCTCCGCTTTTCGAGGCGGCCCACGCAACGACGTCGCCCAGGCGCTGCTGTCGAAACTCACGGCCCGGCAAACTCTGACTCGGCAGCCATCGGCTGTACGCCCCTGCAGGGTCCTTCCGCGTCCACGGGACAATTAACCGGCTCTCCTCCAGCTGCTCCATCATAAATTCAGCAAGCGGTACGGCGTCTGTAAACGTGACGATCCCGCGCGGGTCTGCGGGGTCCTCACGCACCCGCAGCCGGCTATGGACCACACAAAGAAAGTCCCGCGTGACAAGCCGTCGGTAGCTGCCGCTCTCCGACCAGAATGGAACAGGCATCGGCGCGACGCACACGTCGGCCGTGGCAGGCGGCACAAGGCGCTGCAGCAGGAAGAGCGCGTCGCTGCGCACAAAGTGCACGCGGGGGCCATACTGTGGCACCAGCGCGGCGGCCGCCTCCAGCAGGGCCGAGAGGGCGTGGTCCACGACGAGCACGCTGTGCACCTCATCCATCGCCAGCTGCCTTTGGAGGTAGGCGAGGCTGCGGCAACCAACAATGAGCACATGGCGTGTGCCCGCCGAGGTCCAGGGGTGGATCAAAAGCCGGCGAAACTCCTCAGTGACCTCCGCGGCAAGCGACGCCCGAAGCTCCGCGCGGTGAACGCCGTTCGTGGGCGGCAGCACCGCCAACTGAAAGGCAGGGAAGTGCACGACGCTCTCCTCATCGTACGTCGCACGGACCCCGCCGTCGCGCCGCTGCACGTTATCCGCCACCAGCGAAGCGTGGCGCCGCACGGCGTCCAGGAGCTCCCTCTTCTGCAGCTCCGCCGTTGAGCTGCGGGTGACGAGGGCGAGTTTGGGCGCCAGCAGCAGGGCATGGAGGCGCCTCGACAGCATCGCCTCTCAGAGAAGAAGGTCGTCCCTCCTTTCTTCCTCCTTCCCCACCTTAGAGGACGCCGCGCCCCACAAGAGCCGGTGAAGGAAAAAAGAAGAAACGCCCACCCACACACCGACAGAGAAAAAGAAAAAGACCAGTGAAGAGACCGCAGAAAAAAAAAAACAAGAAGAGTGTGTGTGTTTCTGTATCCGGAGTGCCCCCTCTTGCAGCACCGTCCATAGACGTCTCCCACAAACCTCCAGCTTTATTTTATCCCTCTCCCTTCCACCCTCGTGTCGCTCAGTCACTCACACACGCAAACGCACAAGCACACAGGCAGAGCGCGAGGGCGAGCGGTGCGTCTGTGGGGAGTTCATTGCGGCGCCAGTGGGTCTCGCACGGGAACACAGCGGCTTTGGGCCCAAAGCCGGACCTCATCGTCTGACATCGCCAGCAGTTGTTGCAGTTGTTTTCGCCGCGTCTCCAGCCCTCTTCCGTAGCGACTGCGGTAGTACCTACTCGCGTAGCCTGCGTGCAGCATCTCCTTCTTCACCCTATCACAGTGGGCGGGGAGCTTTTCCAGCAGCGCCGCCACCACCTCCTCGCGGCTGCCCTCGCCGTGCGGCTGCGCCTCCTGCAAAAGGTGCCGCAGCGACGGCACAACCGGGACCGCCACCGGCTGGTGACAGAAGGGCGATGGCAGCAGCGCACGTCCCAGCAGCGTGGAAGAGGGGCGGAGGGCCATCTTTGCCAACGAGCCGCAGCAAATGGGGGCGCCGCCGCCCCACGCAGCGCGAGGCGACCAGGAAAAGGGCAAAGGAGAAGAGACGTGCAGCGACAGGTGGAGCAAACGACCAGGAAAAACACCAACACCAACACCAAACAAAGAAACAAGAATAAACAAACGTGGCGGCGAAGAAAACATGCCTCTGTTTTACCCCTTCCCTCCGTTTCTGCCCACTGAGCCAGCATAGAGCAAGAAGAACAACATTGCTGCTTCAGCACCGCTCGTGAATAATATAATATATGAGTATGCCACCACGTGTGCGTCGTGTAAACGAAACAGCGCCACTAACCAACGACAAGATCGACTACAACAGATGGATAAAACACGTAAATCAAATACACACACACTCACAGACACACACGCAGAAAGAGGCACACAGTCGCAGAAATGCAAACACGTATAGATTTATATACTTGCGGGTGTGTGTGAGAGGGAGAGAGAGAGAGAGAGAAAGGGAGACGAAGAAGAACGAGGAGCATGAAAATGAGGATGAGAAAAGAAGAGCAATAACATAGGCATACAGCAACATCCTCACTCGTAGTTTGTGCCCCTCCCTCCTTTTTGTTTTTCTTTTACTCTTGTTGGACTGAATTTATTCCTCTGCTTCCGGCTTTTCACCTCGCACACCTTAACAAACAAGTTGCAAACAACATACACGCACACACACACACACATGTATATATATATATATGCATATATATATATATATACATACTTTTACTGTAGAAGCACTTTGGCCTCAAGGAAGCTCCTTTACGCACATGCCCCGTCAAGTTAGGAACGAAATGCCACTACTTCTTCTTCATCATTCTCCGAGCACGCCTACTTTCACGTCAACCTCTTCGCTTCACCGGAAAGAGAGAGGGGGAGGGAAGATGCAGATGCACATACACACAGATATATATATATACATATATGTATATATATCTTCCGCAAGGACAACAAGGGCGGCAGCGGCGGTTGCCGTAAAGCAAGAGGTGGCGGCGCCAAGCAACGCCGCCGTCGGCCACAGCAGCGGGGAAAAAAGGGGCGGGGGCTGACAGGGGCGGGGGTGAGGCGCGTGAATGGGGGGACCAGGTGACACCCGACTAGGAGATAGTAGAGCAAGCATCAACCGTAAACATCAGGCTCCAAGCGAGAGAGATGAAATTACAAAAAAAAAAAAACAAAACAAAAACAAAAGACAAAATCAATTGCGTATAACTCCCCTACGAGCTTCCCCCATGCTCTCCGCTCTTCTCATCATTTCTTAATTTTTATTCTTTTTAACGTGTCTTCTGCTCTCGCTTCCCTCCTCCTCCATCCCTCACTTCCACCGCCTTCGCCTCCTCTCACTCACTGGCTCTTCTGCTTTGCCCATGTGGCCTGCGTGGAGATGGGAGGCGAAGAAGACGATTCCAGAAAAACAAAAACACAAGCGGTGTCATGAGGGAGGGGCTGTTGGTGGACCAATGACACATGCATGAAGACATACATTTTGTGTGTCATCGATCTTGGGCTGTGGAGGAGTAGGAGGTGGTGTTGGTGGAGGCGCTCAATGGACATACTTGAGCATTCCCTCCCCCTTTTTTCCCTTTATATATGCGTTTCCCCCCCCTACCACTCTCTCTACTTCTCTAGCTCTCTCTCTCTCTATCTCTCTACTTTCCATTCGCTTCGTGTGAATGCAATGCTTCCTCCACAGTTGCCGCCCGTACCGGCGCCGTGGTCGTAAGCCGCGGCGATTGGCAGACGGTGGAAGGTGGCGCGGGGACGAGGGGATGGGGGACTCTTTTACATCCGCTTTAGGCGTGGCACGAATCCGGGGATGCTCTTCCCCAGAGTGCGGGGGGAAACGGGGCCCTTGACCTCCTTCGCTTCCTGCCGCTGCGGCTTTTTTATCGCCATGCGCAGCTTTCCGTTGGCTACCAGGATGCAGCCCGCACCGTTTTGATGCCCGGCGTAGTCAGAGGTGGAGAAGATGGTCACAACACGGGCGTTGTCGGACAGGCGCAGACCATCCGCCTTCTCCTGGTGGGCACGGAATATGTATTGATAGTTGTAGCGCTCACAGAACATGTCCACAGCGCGGGAGCCAAATGTTTTAATGTCAGGCCCACGCGGGTTGGGCCCAAAGCCGTACTTGTCCAGCTGATGGTTTGGTGGGGCGGGGTCGGACCACAACAAGTCATTCACCATCATGCGCTGGGTTACGTTTGTCGGATCCGTGCACTGCACTACAGGGATGCGGGGGAAGGAGGGGTCGGAGAGGATCTCCAGCCGCTTATCCTCCCCACCCGCGTACTGCGGAAGACCACCATGGACGCAGAAGATCTTCTTGTCAATGTCGGCAATCACAGGAAGGAACTGGAACACCTCATTCACGGCGACCCAGACATCAATGCCGCGCTCGCGACCAAACTTCTCAAGGCACTGGTACTTGAAAGAGCTGTAGCCGTAGACATCCATGTCTCCATTCACCTCGGGTGACTCATGATTCCCACGCAGGAGTGTCACCTTCGCCGGGTTGATGAGCTTCAGCGCCAGGAGGTACATCACACATTCTAGGGAAAAGGCTCCTCGATCCACGTAGTCGCCAAGGAACAGGAGGTGGGTCGTGGTGTACTTGAGCATAATGTCATCAAACCCCACCACCTTCTCCAAAAAGTACGCCATGTCGGCAAAGTTGCCATGGATATCGCCAAATACTGTAATAGGGGATTTGAGACGAACAAAGAGCGGCTCCCGCGTCACCACCTCACGGCATTGATTACATACAGAAATAACAAGTTTACAGAATTCTGGGAGGTTGTCGTAGGCAAATCCATTATGAGTGGGGTTTGCGGCGCGCCGTATCGTCTCAATGAGTCGTGCCGCATCTACATGCGGCTGGGTGGGGGAGTTCATGTAGTTTCGCATGTCCTGCAACTGAAGCATCGTGCTGTGACTGGCAACAGCCTCATCAAATGCCCGAGACCTCGGTGTTGAACCCGGTGCAATGCCCGCCCGCGGCGTGTCTGGCTCCGCCACCCCTTTTTGTCCCACAGCGTTCTGCAGCAAGTCCACAATTGTAACGGTTTGTGGGAGGTTCACAAAGTCATCCTCACAGAGAAGCACATTCTGTGAAAATACATACTTTTCCGGCAAATTTGTCGCGGCCCCACCACTTTGGGAAGCCTCATGGGCGCGTTTTTCATCCTTGCGCTTCCCGTGGAAGGCGGGCTCCACCAAGATAACAGTCTCCAGAAGCCGCAGCCGCTCCTCCATCTTGAAGACAGTGTTAAACACGTTTGGCAGAAGTTCCGGCGGCACCTTGGAGATAAAGGTGTTAAACTCCATGGGGGTGATCTTCGCGTTGCTGATGCAGTCGTAGTTGGTGTTGCTGCGGCCGGAGTTAATTTCCTCGGTCGTGATGAGGTCGAGCTCAACCGACCAGTCTGGCTTCAGCGTCTTGATGCGGCCGACTTTGTAAAGCGCCTTGCCGTCGGTGGAGTCCTCTACGCGGCAGCGGACAAAAAAGCCAGACACAAGGGAGAAGAGCCTTGAGCGTATCTTGTGGTGCCACTCCGAGAGCTTTTCCCGATTGATTGTGACGGCCTGCGCCATCTCGAGCGTGACGAGGGACTCCGTGCGGAAGGAGGGGGTCAGGCTGAGCGGGGCGAGGTCCGGAGGCGCCTGCGGCGACGACGGCACATTGGGTGGATCCATGCTCTGCCTTGCTTGACGGGGCGTTGTGTTGGTGGTGGTATGGACACAGCCGATGCTTCTTCGCTCTTCGCGCGCTTTGCTTTGCTACTTTGCGTGGGCTTTGCGGGGGAAGTCGGGGCCCCGCGTGGCCGAAGCGAAGCAAATAAAAAAAAAGAAGACAAGAAGAATAAGAAGCAAAATTATACGAACAAACAAAAAAAGTAATAATAGTAATAATATGTGCCAACTCCCCGCCACAAGGAAAGCTTCATCCACTCTGCCCGCCCACAACACCACCAGCGCCACCAAAACCAGGCGGTTTAGACGAGGCATACCGCAATGAAAAGTGAGTGACACCTTTCCAACTTCTTTTGCCTCGTTTTTTTTGTTTTGTTTTTTTGCTGTATTGGGGGACGGAGGGGGATGGTGGTGTGCAGCTGCGTGCTGCCACGGAGCACGGGCACGATGCAACAAGATACATAAAAAAAAAGGAGAGGGGTGGGTGGGTGGGTGGGAGAAAAAGAAAAAATGAGCTCAATAGCGTCCATACTTGAAAACGCATACAAACACTCACACACTCACACACGCGTACACACGAAGTAGTGGGGAGGAGGGAAGGGGTGGGGGGGATAGTGCAAATGAGGCGGTGGTAGGGCGGTGTGGTACTCCTTCCGTGATCCCCCGCCTCATCTCTCTTTTCGCGGAGCCGGCCGCACGCACATACATTGGAAATTTTCCACGCCTTATGTGCGTGTGTGTGTGATTTTGTTGTTGTTGTTTATATTGAACTGTCACTGCTCTTCCACCGTAGATGAAGTTTCAACGTTCTCAGAGCATACATCGACATGTATTTAAGCGCAAGTTGCCGCCTCCCTTCTTTTTTTTTTTTGCAATATGTACATTTGTGTGTGCGTTTCTGTGTGTGTGCGTGTGTATGGGAGGGATACATATTTGTAGCTTCCATTAGTTCTCTGGCGACGACGACGTCGTGGGTGGTGGTGGCGGCAGCGCGTTGAAACACGCGCCGAGCTCCATAACTCGCCCCAGCGACTCCCGCGCGTTGTCGCTGAGGTCCGAGGAGCGGCAGCGGGCCCTGGAGAGCACCTGGCACGTCAAGTCGAGCGTCTTCTCCACGTCGAGGCTCACCCGCGACGCGGCGTTGAGGAGGTCGGTGAGCAGCGAGGGACGCCGCTCGGGCGCCGCCTCTCCCTCCTCGTCGCCGCGCCCTCGCACGGGACTCTCCTCGACGCGCCCCCGCGCGTGGTACACGCTGGTGAGGGGGAGCACAGGCGCCGCCAGGTACGTGGCGATCGGGCTGGGTGGCTGCGGCAGCGTCGGCAACATCTCCCGCTGCTCCGCGAGAAGCTTGCGCAGGTTCGGCGCCTTAATGACGACGGTCGACATGGCCCCTCCTTCGCTTCTTGACGTGTGCTGACGCCTTCCCTTGCGTCTCCCTGCGTGGCCGGAGAAACGGCAGCAGCAACGCGAACGCAAGAAGGAGGAGAAGAAGAAAGGTAAAGTAACAGGGAGACGCACGTGGCGGACAAACCCCTCCACACCCCACCAAACGCTTTAGTCGTGTGTGTGTGTGTGTGTGCAGTTGACGCAAATAAATGGGCATGATGGGACGCATGCACGTCGCGGGGGCGTGCGCGGGGAGGGGCGGGCAAAAGCCATTTTCCCACGCCCTGCCTCGCTCCGCTTCATATTGTGCCGCTTCAGTCCCATCCGTCCTTTCGCTTGTGTACATGAGAGGTTCAACGCAGCAAACGCAGCAAGGGAAGCTCGACCCGCTCAGTATCACTCCTTCTTTGACTTCTTCCTGGGCTTTTTGCTCTTTGCTTTTTCCGCCTCGGCGTCCAAAATCATCTGCATATGCTCCGCGATGTGCTGCAGCATGTCCTCGAGGGTCTCCTCCTGCACCTCTCCCACCTCGATGCGAATGCCATCGGTGTCACTGGCGGCAAAGGCGAGGGTGCGCCGCATCTCGACGGACTCAATTGACTTGCTGAAGTCAAGCAGCTTCAGCGTCTTCGTGGTGGCAATGAGATCCCCGGTCGCATCCACAGTTTTTGCATCGAAGGTGTTATCGGCGCAGCTCACCATAATGAGGGCGGTGTTCTTTAAAAGCGCCTTGACAATGACCACTCCACCGTCGTCGGAGAAGCCGTTGCTCGCTACGTTCAGGCGCTCCAGCGCCGGTGGGTTTGCCGCGATGAGCGCCGCTACCTCGGAGGCGCCGTCGTCGCCCAGCATGCAGTTCGCTATATTGAGTGAGCGCACCCGGTTAGGGGCGGCGGTGAAATGCTGGCGGAACACCTGCATCCCCTTCAGCCCAAGCGTGTTGCTGTGCAGACTAACGTCAAGGAGGAACTCGTTGTTTTCCAGCAGCTGCCCAACCGCCTCGCAGCCTCTGTGGCGAACGTCGTTGCGGAAGAGGTTGAGTGACGTGATTCCCTTCCCGGCGAAGCGGCGCATCGCCTCGCAAAGGTACGTGGTGCCGGCGTCGCCAATCCTGTTCGCCATGAGGTGGTAGACGCACAGCGGATTGCGCTGCATCGACCGCAGCAGACACTTTGTCCCCAGCGGGCCAACGTGGTTCCAACTCAGGTCGACGGAGACGAGGTCACGGTGGCACGCCGCCGCCTTGCTCATGGCCAACAGCGTGTCATCGCCCAGATCGTTGCCCGCCAGGACAAGGCTGAACAAGGTGCGGTTCCACTGCCCAGGCTGCCCATTGGGGTTTACATTGGGAACGAAAGCGCTGGCCAGCGCTATCCCGCCCACGTCCGTGATACCGTTCTGCGCCAGATTCAAGTACTGAATGGATTCATTTTTACGCAGAACCTCCGCCATCGTCACGGCCCCCTCATCACCGATATTGTTGTGCGAGAGATCTAGGCGAACAACGTGCTTGTTCTTCATGAGAGCCGTGCCAATCACCAGGGCACCGCGGGGGACGATGCTCTTCCCCTGCAACTCAAGAGCAGCCTGGAAAAGCAGCGCCCGCCACTTCCTTCTCGTGTAGAAATTTGTCGTCGGGTCCTTGCTGGTCCCGGGCGGGGGGACCTTCTCCTTCTTGCCCATCCTCACGCCAATTTCCTCTCACTCCCTTCCTCCCTGCAGACGCGTGTGCACGACGTGGAACCAACAGTAGTGGAAAGGGAACGAGAAAAAGCGAGCGACATATATGAGGAGAACAGTGAGGAATATCGCATAAAAAAAAAACGAAAAAAAAGGTAGAAACATAACTT